GTTTTCCAGCAACCGACATTTTTAATACTAATAGAAGTTTTATTATCGCTTCTTTATAAGTTGGCATATCTGCCAGTTGATTAATTTCTAAAGTAGAAAGTAATTTTCCTTCAAAAGCTGCTCCTGTGATTTTAAATTGTGTATATTTTTTTGAAAATTCTTTAAATAATCTAGCACCGCTACCCGGATGAATCATAGAATAAGCAATGAAAGTCGAACCTTTTATTTTTTTTTTTAAACATTCAAAAACAGTATTTTTAATTGCTAGAGATAACAGAGTATTTTGAACAATACTCATTTTTACTCCTATCTCACGTCCAGATTTACGTAGTTTATTTATTTTATTTACTGAAATGCCTTGAGAGTCTGCAGTTACAGCTGATAATGCTGTTTTTGATATTTTATTAATTTTAGATACAATTATTTTTTTTTCATTAAGATTTAATGCCATTTTATCGGATTCTCCTGTAGAGAGAAATGATCTGTAATTCATGATTTAATAAAAATATTTTTATGAGTATTATAAAATAACTATAAAATAAATTTTTAAATGGCAAATTTATTTTATTAAAATCAGATTATTTTGAAGATCAACTTTACAAAAAACTTCAGATGCTGATTAAAAAATGGGGATACCATTATAGAGAATTTTTTTTCTAGCGTAAAGTAAAAATCATTTCTTTAAAGAGATAAACTTGATTGATCAACTATTAGTCCGATACCCATAGTTGTCGATAGTACTATTTTTTTTATATATATTCCTTTTGATTGCGGAGGCTTAGCTTTTTTTATAGACTCTAAAAACACATGAAAATTCTCTTTTATATGATTGTTATGAAAACTAATACGACCTAGTGTAGCATGAACAATTCCATTTTTATCATTACGATAACGGACTTGTCCTGTTTTTGCATTTTTAATTGCTTCACCAATATTTGTGGTAACTGTGCCTAATTTTGGATTTGGCATCAAACCACGAGGTCCTAGTATTTGTCCTAATTGTGTTACTACTTTCATTGCATCAGGTGAAGCAATAACTACATTAAAATTGATACCTTCTTTTTTAATTTTTTCAGCTAAGTCTTCCATTCCTATTAATTCTGCACCTGCATTTTTAGCGATTTCAATATTATCACCTTGAGTAAAAACAGCTACTCTAACAGTGCGTCCAATACCGTTTGGTAATACTGTTGAGCCTCGAATATTTTGATCTGATTTTTTTGAATTTATTCCTAAATTAATAGCAATATCAATACTTTCATTAAATTTTACTTTTGATGTTTTTTTTAATAAAACAATTAATTCATCAATATGGTATGATTTTTCACAATTAATAGTATCTTTAATTTTTTTTATGCGTTTAGTAATTTTCGTCATTTATTATTCCTCAATCATTAAACCCATGGACTTAGCTGTTCCTTCAATAGAACGCATCATACTTTCAATATTAGAACCCGTCATATCATCATTTTTTATTTTCGCTATTTCTTTAATTTGCGAACGATTTATTTTTCCTATTTTTTCTATTTTTGGTTTACTAGAACCTGATTTAATTCCAGATATTTTTTTTAATAAAATAGAAGCTGGAGGAGTTTTTGTAATAAATGTAAATGAACGATCAGAATAGACTGTAATTACAACTGGTATAGGAAGTCCTTTCTCTAAATTTTCTGTTTTTTTATTAAATAATTTACAAAATTCCATGATATTAACACCCTTTTGACCTAATGCAGGTCCAATTGGTGGACTGGGATTAGCTATACCAGCTGAGACTTGAAGTTTAATATAAGATTGTATTTTTTTTGCCATTTTTTTGTATTCTCAAATATATATAAAACATTGTTGTTAAAACAGATATAAGAATTATTTAGTTTTTTTCAACTTGTCTGAAATCTAATTCGACAGGAGTCGATCTTCCAAAAATAGACACAGAAACTTTAAGTCTACTTTTTTCATAATCTACCTCTTCTACAACACCATTAAAGTCTGAAAAAGGACCATCATTTACCCTGATCATTTCTCCAGGTTCAAATAAAGTTTTAGGTCTAGGTTTATCACCTATTTGACGTAGCCTGTTAATAATGATTTCCACTTCTTTATCGCTAATAGGTGATGGTTTATCTGATTTTCCTCCAATAAATCCTAATACTCTAGGAACATTTCTAATTAAGTGCCATGTTGCGTCAGTCATAATCATTTGAATTAAAACATATCCAGGAAAAAATTTATATTCACTTTTTCTGCGTTGTCCACCTCGTATTTCAATAACTTCTTGAGAAGGAACCATAACTTCTCCAAATAAATTTTCCATTTTATTTAATTTTACATGTTCTCGTATTGATTGTGCTACGCGACCTTCAAAGCCAGAAAAAGCTTGTAATACATACCATCTTTTTTTTTGACTCTCATGCATTTTAGAACCTTAAACTAATAATAAATGCTATTAAACGAAAGATAATATTATCTAAACCCCATAAAATAAGAGATATAATAATTGTGACAGAAATAACAATAAATGTAGTATATAAAGTTTCTTTATATTCTGGCCATGTTATTTTTTGCATTTCTTTTTTTGACATTTTTATATAAGAAAATATATTTTTTCCTTTTTTTGTACATAGTAAAATACTAATAGAACAGATCACTAAAAAAAATATTATTAATATACGAAGAAGTAATTGTTTTTCATAAAAATAGTAGTTAATAAAAATTGATAGAATAAAGAATACGGACACAGACAACCATTTTATTTTTTCTAGAATTTTAGATTCGTTTTGTTTATGGCTATTTTTATTCATAATTTCTCCTAAAATTATAAAATAATATAGAAAAAATATGTTAATATATACTAAAATTATTATTTTATTTTTTATTAGGAAAATATTTTAATATTACGATATTAATAGAAAACAAAAAAATACATTCTATTTTTTTAAAATAGATCTAATAGTTATGAATTAAATTTATTTTTAATTTAAAATAAAGTATTAGGTGAGATTTATGAAAAATGATTTTACGATAATTTTTTTATATTTATAGGTAAAATTTAAAAGAAAAGTTAGTAGTTTTTTTTTTAATATGCTGATACCCAGGATTGAACTGGGGACCTCACCCTTACCAAGGGTGTGCTCTACCTACTGAGCCATATCAGCAATTTTGAGCGGACAGCGGGAATTGAACCCGTATCATCAGCTTGGAAGGCTGAGGTAATAGCCATTATACGATGTCCGCTTTTTTTAAAATATTAAATTGGTGGGAGAAGGATTCGAACCTTCGAAGTCGATGACGGCAGATTTACAGTCTGCTCCCTTTAGCCGCTCGGGAATCCCACCTTATTATTTTTTCTATTATTCTACTAATTCTACTATATTTTATGCCGGCTACCGGAATCGAACTGGTGACCTACTGATTACAAGTCAGTTGCTCTGCCTGCTGAGCTAAGCCGGCATTTTATATAATCGAATATAATAAATAATTTTTAAAATTAATTTTAAAGAGATTATATTATATAATTTTTAGTTTGTATTGCAAGTTTTTTATAAAAAATATTTTTTAAGAATTCTTTTAATAAATAATTTTTTTATTTTTTAATGTAAAAAGATCTGATGTTTTTATTTTTTTAATAGATCCGATAAAGTCTACTTCTGGTTCTAGGTGTATGTTAAATTTTTTTAAAACATGTCTATATATTATTTGGGCTAATTGGAGTATTTCTTGAGGAGTCGCTTTTTTTTTATTAATTAATATAAGTTTTTTTTTCTGATATATAGCAGCATCACCAATTTGAATATTTTTAAGATTGCAATGTTCAATTAGCCATCCACCAGAAATTTTTATTAAACCATCTGATTGCGGATAATATGGAATATTATATAAACATATTAGTTTTTCTGCATGTTTTTTTTTAATAATTGGATTTTTAAAAAAACTTCCAGCATTTCCAATTTTTTTAAGATTAGGTAAATTTTTAGTGCGTATTTTAGATACTATATTAAAAATTTGATGTGCACTTATAAATTTTGGTTTCATGTGATTTTCTAGTTCAGAAAAGATAAGTGGTTGCCATTTTTTTGATAATTTAATTCCAACAGCAATAACAACACATTCAGAATAATATTGATTTTTAAAAATACTATTTCGATAAGAAAATTTACATGAATTTTTATTCATTCTTATAATAGAATTATTTTTAAAAGACATGACATCAACATAATGACATACATCTTTAAATTCTAAACCATAAGCACCTATATTTTGAATTGCTGCTGATCCTATACAACCAGGAATTAATGCTGAATTTTCTAATCCTAAAATACCTAAATTGAGAGTATATTTTACTAAATCATGCCATTTTTCTCCTGAAAAGACATGTAATAACCAATTGTTACTTTTTTCTACTATTTTTATTCCTTTAATACGATTAACAATAATAATTCCTTGATAATTTTTTAAAAAGAGTACATTACTTCCTTCCCCTAAAATTAAGTGAGGAATTTGATATAGTTTACATATTTGTAATATATAAATAAGCGATTTAATGTTTTTTATAAAAATAATTTTTTTTGCTGTTAGATCTACTCTAAATGTGTTTAAATCTTTTATTGATAAATTAGAAAAATATTTTATTTTATACATATTTTAATTAAATAATAATATTATTGAATTAGCTATTTATGTTCATTAATTAATATTTTTAGTATATATTATTTTTTTATATTTGAATAATCGAGATAAAAAATTATTTAATGGAGTTTTAGAAATGAAAAATTTTTTTCAATACCATAAAGATATCATACTTCAAAAAAAAGAAAATATTTCTAAAGATATCAAATGTTCTTTTGAATTTTTTCCACCTAAAAATCCTATAGCAGAAAAAAAATTATGCTCTTCAGTTGAGTATCTTAGTAAATTAAATCCAGTCTTTTTTTCTGTGACTTATGGTGCCAATAGTGGCGAACGTGAAAAGACATATGCAATCGTAAAAAAAATAAATGAAAAAACCGGAGTCATAACAGCACCACATTTAACTTGCGTGGATTCTACACCTGATGAATTAAAGAAAATAGGAGAACATTATTGGAACAGTGGTATCCGTAATATCGTTGCGTTAAGAGGAGATACATTGCAAAAAAATTATAAGCATAAAATGTATGCCTTAGATTTAGTGATTTTATTAAAAAAAATTGCCAATTTTGATATTTCTGTCGCTGCATATCCGGAATTACATCCAGAATCAAAAAACGCTACATTTGATATTATAAATTTAAAAAAAAAGATTGATGCGGGTGCAAATAGGGCTATTACACAGTTTTTTTTTAATATTGAAAGTTATCTTTATTTCCGAGATAATTGTATTAAAAACAATATTACTTCTGATATTATACCAGGTATTCTACCAGTTTATAATTTTCAGCAATTACAACGTTTCTCTAGTATGACTAACGTCAAGATCCCAAAATGGATGTTTGAAATATTTAATGGATTAGATGATGATCCAATTACACAAAAAATGATAGGTTCTACTATAATGATAGATATGATAAAAAATTTATCTTCTGAAGGAGTAAAAAATTTTCATTTTTATACTTTAAATCAATCTGATATTATTTATTCTATTTGTCGTATGTTAGATTTATAATTTTTTTTTAGCAACAAAATTTATGTATAATTTTATTAAAAACATTTATAGTCGGTTGAATGAAAGAAGAATCTAAATATTCATCTGGTTGATGTGCTTGTCTAATAGATCCAGGTCCCAATATTAAGGTAGGAGCAATTTTTTTAAAAAAAGGTGCCTCCGTACAGTAATTTGCTGTTTTACTATTTAAACTGCATAGTTTTTCGACTATTTTTGTAACGTTCTTATTTTTACAGCATTGATAAGCAGGTACTGCACTATAAAGTTTTTTTAAAATAATACGATTAGACCATTTTTGTATAATTGATTGTAACTTTTCTTGAATTAAAATTTCAATTTGTGTTAAAGTCAATCCAGGTATAGGTCGTATTTCAATATTTAAAGTGCATAAAGAACAAATTCGATTAATAGCATCTCCTCCATGTATAGAAGATAAATTCATAGTGGGGTATGGTACTGAAAACTTTTTATTTTCGTATTTTTGTTTGAGATATTTTTTTAAAGAAATCAAGTTTTCGATAATATTATGCATAATTTCAATACTATTGACACCATCATCAGGATTGCTAGAATGACCAGTACTGCCAACTACTTGAATTGAATAAGATATATGTCCTTTATGTGCATTTATTAATTCTAAAGATGTAGGTTCTCCAATGATTATACAATCTGGTCTGATAATGCTTGATGTCATAAAATATTTGGCTCCAGACATATCCGTTTCTTCATTAGCAGTAGATAGAATATAAATTGGTTTTTTTATTTTCTTGCTATTTATAGAAGACAGTACTTCTAACAAAAAAGCAAAAAATCCTTTCATATCCACTGTTCCTAATCCATAAAATTTATTATCAATTTCAGTTAAAGTAAAAGGATCTTTTGTCCATGTATTTTCGTCAAAATCAACAGTATCTGAATGACCAGATAGAAGTAATCCTCCATCTCCTGAACCAATAGAAGCTAACATATTAAATTTATTAGTATCTGGAACTTGATTTATTTTTATTGAAAAATTTAAATCAGATAAATAATTAGATAATAAATCAATAAAGTTTTTATTCGTTTGATCTAATAATTTATTATGACTACTAATTGTAGGAATACTAATTAATGATTCATAAATTTTAATAAAAGAAGGAATTTTTCTTTCCATGTAATTTTTATAAATATTTGCTATGATTTATGTTGTCAACATTTTATTCATAAATAAAGAATTTATCAATATATTAATGATATGAAATTTATTTTTATTAAAAAATTTAATACAATATTTCATTTATAAATAGTATTTTTTTGTTTAAGGTTTATTAATTTTATGTTAAATGTATTAATTGTTGGAGCGAGTGGTTACGCTGGTGCAGAATTAGTAAATTACATGAATCGTCATGAATTTGCAAAAATAAAAAAAATATTTGTCTCACAAAATAGTTTAGATATAGGTAAAATGTTTTCAGAAGTTCATCAACAATTTACAGATATTGTAAATTTAAAATTTGAATCTATGAGTAATTTTAATATATCAGATCAAGAAATTGATGTTGTTTTTTTGGCAACAGACCATAATGTGAGTCATGATTTAGTTCCTTTTTTTTTATCTTCTAATTGTGTTGTATTTGATCTTTCTGCTTCATATAGAATAAAAGAAAGTAAAGTTTATCTAGATCATTATGGATTCGTTCATCAATATAAACAACTTTTAAAAAAATCTATTTATGGATTAGCAGAATGGCAAGAAAAAAAAATAAGACAAGCACAATTAGTTGCAGTGCCTGGATGTTATGCAACTTGTGTGCAATTAGCATTAAAGCCTTTGGTTGAAGAAAATATTTTATGCAAGGATCATATCCCTATTATTAATGCTGTTAGTGGTGTAAGTGGCGCGGGTAGAAAAGTGAATATGACGAATAGTTTTTGTGAAGTAAGTTTACAGCCATATAATATTTTTACGCATCGTCATACTCCTGAAATTGTAGAAAATTTAGGTATTCCAATAATTTTTATTCCGCATTTAGGTTCATTTTCTCGTGGGATTATTGCTACAATTACATGTAAATTAAAACTTAATATTAAAATACTTGATATGTATAATATATTTAATAAATTTTATAAAAACAAACCATTAATTCGTATATATAATAAATTTTTGCCGAGTATTAAAACAGTTGTAAAACTTCCATATTGTGATATTGGTTTTAAGATTCAAGATAATTATATAGTTATTGTAGCTGCTGAAGATAATTTGTTAAAAGGAGCTGCGGCACAAGCAGTGCAGTGTTTTAATATGCGTTTTGGTTTTTCTGAAACAGAATCAATTATTTAATTAATAATGAGCTATTTATGATAAATCCTTTAGTTATTAAATTAGGTGGTGTTCTTTTAGAAAGCGATGATGCTATGATGCGTTTATTTAAAGCGTTAGTCGATTACAAAAAACATTATAAACGCCATGTATTAATTGTTCATGGAGGAGGTCGTTTAATTGACGATCTGATGATAAAACTTTCTTTACCAGTTAAAAAGAAAAATGGTTTACGTATTACTCCATATGAACATATTAACATTATTACAGGTGCATTAGCTGGAACAGCTAACAAAACCCTTCTTGCTTGGGCGTTAAAGCATAAGCTGAATGCCGTTGGACTGTGTTTAGCAGATGGAAACAGTGTTAATGTAGAAAGAATAGACCAAGATTTAGGTCACGTAGGAAAAGCCTCACCTGGATCACCATTATTTTTAATAAAATTATGCGAAGAAGGTTTTTTGCCAATTATTAGTTCCATAGGAATTACTGATGATGGTTTGTTAATGA